TGACCCTTAGCCCAGCCAATGTGGTTCAGTGGTTGAGTGTCGACCTATGAACCAGGAGGTCAATGATTCGATTCCCGGTTGGGTACATGTCTGGGTTGTGGGCTCAATCCCTAGTGGGCAGGCGTGCAGAAGGCAGCCGATCAATGATTTACTCTCATCAATGTTTCTATCTCTCTATCCCTCTCCTTTCCTCTCTGAAATCAATAAAAATGTATTTTAGCCCTAGCTGCTCTGGCTCAGTGGATAGAACGTCGGCCTGCAGACTGCAGGGTCCCAGGTTCGATTCTGGTCAAGGGCACATGGCCAGGTTGTGGGCTCGATCCCCAGTAGGGAATATGCAGGAGGCAGCCGATCAGTGATTCTCTCTCATCATTGATGTTTCTATCTCTCTCTCGCCTTCTCCCTCTCTCTCTAAAATCAATAAGAATATAGAAAAAAAATAAAATAAAAATGTATTTTAAAGAAACATCACCCTGAGAGACTATATAATTCTAAATTATCAAAGATGTTAAATTATATCTAAGACACTTTATGTTCCCAGGAAAAGGGAATACATGCAGGATTTTCATCAAAAGTTAAAGCAATCTTATTATGAAATAAGGCAATTATATAATTAAACATTTGTGGCACACAAAGTATATTAATTTGGTAGAAAGAGGAACAGAGTTGGAATAAAAAAATATAAATAATTGACTACAGTATAAACTATATGACTAATAAACTTCTTAAAGGCACTAGAAATAGTTTTTTTATTCTAATGTACAGGTACTTGTATGATTAGAAAAGTCTACCTCAAATGAGCATCATAATCTCAGTTGCTCACCTAATATGACTCATCAGAAAGGATTATGATGGTACTAAAGACACAAAAATAGAAGAAAAATTCAACTTTCAAAACCGTTACAGTTTCTATCATCTTGACTCTACTGCAAGCTTTTCATAGTCTTAGCATTTGTCCCTAGAGCTATCCCCTTCACTTCCCCTCAAATCCTGCTTATAAACAGTAGCAAGAGAAGAAATAGGTTTAGCTGAAGAGCTGACTCATCAAACTGTTATATCAATTTAAAAAAATGATCATTTAAGAGCAGAATCTGAGGCTTGCATTCATGACAATATGATAGACAACACTGGCATGTTAATTATACTTTCTGTGTATAAAACAACATTCACTTAATAAGTACAGTACATATTACACATAATCATTGCTTTTTACTTTATTCCTTCATACTTAAAATATCATAAACCTCAGAGAAAAAGCTGAAGCAGCATTAGATGCTATTCAGAATTATATTTTGTATTAGATTCAGCATTTCATTGAATGCATAGCCTTTTTATTTCTGTAATCCTACACCTTGCTTAATTATTCCTAAAATTAATGGGGTGGTCCTCAGTGGTGTAAAAAAGGCATAAAAAACTTGGTGGAGGAAAGAAAGGAAGGAGGTAGAAGCCGAAATGGAGGTAAGGTTGAACGTAAAGCAGGCTGCAGCTTGGGGAGGAAGAGCTGAAGTATATTCCAGAAAGTGAAGCCACTTGGGTAGGGTGAGAACTGGGATCTTATTTTGTGCCCAACTCCAAGTGAACCTCACTCTTTATATTAACAAGGAGTGACTGCTGAACAAGGGACACAGATATCCTGAGGGAAGATTTTACCAGGGACCGAATGAATGGCTATACGACAAAGAGAGGTCCTTAAACTTTAGCCTGCTTTAGAATTACAGGGAGGATGTGCTAAAATGCTGACTGCTGGGCGCCCACCTCCACAGTATCAGATTCAGGTATGGAGTTGGGTCTATGAATTTGCATTTTTTTTTAAAAATATATTTTATTGATTCTTACAGAGAGGAAGGGAGAGGGATAGAGAGTTAGAAACATCGATCAGCTGCCTCCTGCACACCCCCTACTGGGGATGTGCCCGCAACCAAGGTACATGCCCTTGACCGGAATCGAACCTGGGACCCTTCAGTCCGCAGGCCAATGCTCTATCCACTGAGCCAAACCGGTTAGGGCTGAATTTGCATTTTTAACAAACCCCTAGGACCTAGGGTGATGCTGATGCCGTGGACTATGCTGAACTGCTGCATTGAAATATCCTGCATTAAAAGGATGAACAATGTAAAAATTAGGCACTTTCTACCTCTCTACTGCCCCAAGGAATCTACTACTCTGTAACTATAGTCTATTGTTTTTAGATAAACTACTTCACTTGCCTGCACAGTCTAGGACACACATGATAGTGGGGAATATAGAGCGGGAGAGGGAAAGTAAGTGAATGAGGGCAGAAAGGAGACTGCCACATTAAAAAGCTGGCAGATTGGCATCCCTAGGAGCAGTGAGGTCTCAATCTGACTGCATCATAATTATGTGAGCTTACTCAAGATTCCTGGACCCATATACTGAATCAGAACCTGCGGGTGGCACACAGAAGCCTGTATTTTTAGCAAGCTGCCCTGGCAATCAGCAATGCCAGTTCAGAGCCACTCCTTCAGGGGATCTGAAGTCCAGTTTCTTGGTTAAGCAGTGGGCCAAAGGGTGGCCGGAAGCGGGTGGTCCTCAGTGGCATAAAAGCATAAACCAAAGATGTGCAAAGCTCAACAGTATTTGATTTAATCTAGTTAACTCCAGGGTTATTCTGACAAGGCTATTTTTATAAGGACTCGCCGAGGAATGAAGCTCAGAGATGGGGTAATGAGGTTTACTGAATAATATCACTTGGTCATTTTTAAAAGCTGAAAACTTAATGACATATACGTAATGTTCAAAGCACTATATGATTACCTTACTTTGGAAAAAGAAAGAAAAAATCTTACTAAGTATAAACTGTTTTATCTAAAATTAGGTAAATTATCATTAAGATCTGTCCATAAAAATATTCTGATGACTCACATAGAACTTTTCTCCCTAATGAGAATTGGGGATTTTCAGAATTTGTTTTATATTGGCTAACAAAAAAATGAAAAAATAGTTAAATGTCTCTGATGGGGTCTCTGGAGTAACTTAGCCTATGAAAAGTAGGCTTGCTGGTTTCTAGTTATCTTGAGAGAGGAATTACAGAGGAGCAAACAGCTTTAGTTGAGAACAAGAAGCCAACAGCAAGAGAGAATCAAGCACTGTGACAAATCCAATATGGCCATATTTTCTTTGTTCCTGGAAAAAAAGCGACTTCTCTGTCTCTTTTGATTCCTGTTATAGATGAAATAGAAGCTAGAGGCAAGAGCAAATGACGATCTAAGAGAAGACACCAGTACTTGACTTGAGGTGGTGACCACACAATACAGGGTTACAGATGACGTGTTGTAGAATTGTGCACCTGAAACCCATATAACCAGTGTCACCCCTATAAATTAAATTTATAAAAAGAAGAGCAGACACCAGTATCACATGCATGTTGAAGAAAAAGTTTCAGGCCATGAGAGTATCTTACCTTATGGCTATAAATGGGAGTAGGGAAATAGATGGCTTGTGCCACTTTCTTTGTTTCTAAATAGGCTTTAGTGCCCACCCCTACTTTTTCTTTTACGTTAATCCATGCGAGTGCATAAGGAGATTTTTAAAAAGCCATTTTGAATGCAGCTAATCAGTTCACTAGCTGTCTGGAATAAGTACTTCCCATAAGTAAATCAAAACATGTCTGTCAAAAATGTCTGTCAAAATGTCTACTGAAGGAACACTTTGTATTCACAATAACGCTTCTTTAGGACAGGCTATTTGCCTGAATAAACTGAAATTAAAAGTTTTTGGATATCACCAGCCAGTCGTATATTAGTGACACTTACATCATGCTTTTTTTCTATCCAATTTTTTAAATAGAAAAAGCCTACAGAAACTAACAAAGGAGAATTAAACTATATCTATAAAATGAAAATATAGAATATTCTGTAAGAAGTTTTCTTTTCCCCATATTTGATTTTTCCCCATCAAAATTTCAGATCTAGTATAAAAGAAAGTTTACACATGGATCATGTACATCACTTGCCAGCTACATGACTATGAACAGGTATTATCTGGTTTATCAGGGCCTCAGTTCCTCCAATTGTAAAAGAGATGGTAAAAATAAGTGGTTCTTCCTCCTGCACCTCAGTCTAAAACCCAGATGATCCTCTATATCCAATTCCTAACATTTTTAAGTGCACAGATGTTCATGGCAGAAACTAACAGTCGCCACCCAATATTCATTCATTTTCCCTTTCTTTCTTGGTAAAGAAACTTAATTTTATTTGGGATGGCAATGTACCAGAAAAGGACTATGCTTTCCAGGTTCCCTTGTAGTTACATGACTCCATGTGGCCAGTGAAATGCAGGTAAAGTGATGCTCCAAAGGAGTGAGTGGACTTGGGTGAAAGAAGCATCTTTTGCCAGCCCTGTAGACTTAAACATAGGTGAGATGGAGGCTTCCAGGAGCATGCTGGGATACTGAAAATGCCAGCAGGATCCTCACAGGGACGCATGCTGCACAGCACTGGGAAGCACTGCTCACATTGTATTCTCTATACAGTGCCTTCCTCTGAAGCTGAAGAACTCTGATTCTAAAGATGATGAAGGAAGAACATAGGAACCTGATGACACCAGGAAGCCAACATAACCAGCTCTGGGTCTTTTTTATGTGCAAGAGAAGTACAGGTCTATCTTGTTTCAAAGTTACTTCCAATTTCTGTTACAAGCAGTAAAACCAAGTTGCTGACCAGGGCTACGGAGGGATATAAAATGTAACAGGATATATAACGCTCCCAAAATAACAAAACAGAGAGGTTAAGAGTATTTTTCTATATTACATGAGAAGATCTCTGAATTTTTAGAAGTCATTTTATTTTTGTCTATGATGTAATTTGAAATTTACTTAAATCAGAGTAAAATATGATAAACTTCTTAAATTTTTAAAAAACTTTAAAAACAAAAACTTCAAAAAGAGATCACATTACCTTCACTCAGTAACTTAGCTGTGTCTAGGTCTTGGAAAGAAACTCCTTCATCTAATTGGGTAGGACACCGATAATTTAGCATCTGTAGCAAGTAACTGATTCCATCAACAAGGTACTAAATGAAAGTCAAAGCCAAAGAATTGAAAGTATTACATGCAAAGCTATAGGAACTTCAAATGTTAACTTTTTTCCATTCTTTACTCAAGAAAAATGGGCTAATATATAGCTAGGTCTTATTGCTATTATATTTCAATAGTCTAAGGATCCATTACCTCAAAACTTTTATAATACATATTCTAAAGTGTCATCTTCAAAATGCTCCAGTTATGAGTATGGAAGAAAAAAAATCATTAACCAAGAACACACGATTCAGTAATATACTTGTCAAAAATGTTCTCAGAGGAAGAAAAGGATAAAGATGTGTTCAACAGACCTAGCTGGTTTGGCTCAGTGAATAGAGCGTAGCCTGCGGACTGAAGGATCTAAGGTTCAATTCCAGTCATGGGCACATGCCCGGGTTGTGGGCTCGATCCCCAGTAGGGAGCGTGCAGCAGGCAGCCAATGGATTCTCTCTCATCATTGATGTTTCTATCTCTCTCTCTCTCCCTTCCTCTCTGAAATCAATAAAAATATATATTTTAAAAATTATATATTCAACAATTTATTAAAAATATATATGTACTTACAATTTAGAAATGATATTCTCAAATTTTTACACCTAAAAGGATGACCTCTCATTTCCAGGCCCCCATGAACCATAGGTACAATCAACCCCAGTTAGACTCCCTAGTGACACAATACTAAGATCGTCTTGAGATTTATTGATTTGGTCAGAGTCAAACCAAATTAGAGCCAGTTTTCTAGCAGCAGAGTCACGTGGGTTCTTCAGGCGTGATCTGCTGACAAAGAGGCTCACAACCACGTTTGTTTTCTTCAGGCCAAAAACTATGCTTAAAAATTAATATATGTTGTCTACCTTATATTTAAAAAAAACAACAACACAAAAAATCATGAACTTACAGAACTTTCCAGTAAGCAAAGGGCTTTCACCTGTTATCTTACTTAATTCACAGTAAGTCCAATTTGTTTACGATTACACAGCTAGTAAGCAAAAGACGTGGAATGAAGACCCCTTGGTTCCAATAGTCTTTACACCACACCAAAGACAGCTTTTAGGAACCTATAAACTTAACAATCAAAAAGAACTGAGGAATGCCTTCTTACCTCTTTAAGCAAACCAGATTTCCTCGTGAGCCACTCTCTCCTTTTGGTCAGAGAATGACAATACATATAAAGTAGGGCTCCTCGTCGCCAAGAGAGACATTCCAAGAGTTCGTCCCCAAGTAAATCGCAGTGCTGAAACACAACAGAGACAGAGCTAAGAAGAGAAATGTGATGTCTGTAAAAGTAAGTTAAATTTCAAAATACTGAGAAATTAAAAACACTTATTTCACAACATTTTCTCTTCGTTTAGCTATTTACACAGGAATGCTGTACTTTGAATCAATTAGAAATACAGACATCTATTGCTACATGAAAATTAAAATAACTACTCCACTTATAAATATTTTTAGAAAATAGTTTAAATATTTTAGTAGCAAATTCTAATGTATATAAAATATAAATATTCAATAATCTGATTTAAAAGATAGTTTTTTAGAACTACATATTACTTGAAACAAGATCTTACCTATTTCTACCATTGCTAGAATAAAATAATAAAAAGATATACACAAAAACAACCTTAATCAAACTTTTACTGTGTTGTGTCATTTAAAATTTGGGAGTATTTGTTTCTACAATTAGCATCCCCTCATGAACACATACAGCACAAAAGATATCTAAGGGGAGATAAGCAGCAAGCAGTTAAAGATGAATTATTTCCTTGAAAAAGTAGCCATAGCTGGAGATAAAAATCTTGGAATCATCTAAATAGGATGCCGTAACAAGCATATAGCAGGTTGTAAAGCAAGAATAGAGACGGTCAGGGGATTAAGGCGGTATCCTTGGGGGCCTGTCTCTAGGATGGGAGGAAGGGGAACTGTTGGGGAAGGAGCAAAACTATAAAAGGACAAGGGATGTGGTCATTAAATACTCGGGAAATGCAGACCCTCAAGAAAATGCAGTGTCTGCAAAAGTAAAGGGAGCAGAAATAGCAAGTATCTTTGCTTAGAAAATGATCAGGCACTGTAATTACAATACAATTACATCAGGAAAGTATTCTGAAACATATTTAGAAAATATAATACTTTAGGTGTGACACTGGTCTGAAGTGTAATCCCTCCTTCAATCTTAATTTAAAACAGACACAGACATAGTCAAGAAGAAAAAACACAGACTCTAAACGGCAGTCCATACAGCAAGAATTAGCAGCTTCACCATCATTCACGAGTGTACAACTTACTTTTGGGTACATATTATTTTCTTTAACTAAAATTTCTGGTTCTGAAAGAAAAGTGATCAACTCTTTTACTTTCTGGGAAGAGTCTTCAGGGAAATCTTCATCTACTAGCTTGTTCTCCTCAAAATACGTCATGTCCAAAATGGCCTGATGATGTGCAAGAGAAAACAATAGCTGTAAATGATTTCTGCCTGAATAACTCTTACAGTTTAACTTTACATGTGTACAGATGTTTTCTTAGACATTTACATTTTCTAGTGCACTATTTAAATTTGAGGCCCTGGCCAGATAGCTCAGTTGGTTAGAGCATAGTCCCTATAAGCCAAGGTTGTGGGTTCCATCCCTGGTCAGGGCACATACAAGAATCAACCAATGAATGAATGAATGGATAAGGAAGTGGAACAGCAAATCAATGTCTCTATTTCTTCTCTCTGTCCTTCCCTCCCTTGCTCTAAAATCAATCAATAAAAGTTTAAATTTGAAAAGTAGGCAAAATGTCTAGCTGAAAACATAATCCAAGATGAACTTTATGGAAAACTTCATAGCTATTTTACTAAAATACTAAATTAATGCTGACCTTCCTTCCCCCAGAAAATAAAAGGGAGTTTTATATTTTAATTCAGGTAAGTAAGTCATATACAATATTATGAAAAGTATAATTATATATTCTTTGCTATTTATACATATATACTCTGGACATTTTCTAAATGGCTGCTGTATCAAGTTAAGATCACTACCTCTAGTTTTGTAAAATGAATCTTCAAAGGATTTGTTTTCCCAAATGCAGATTCAACCCACCAAAGGCAGCATATCACCAACATTATGCAATTCAAACACTAAGACCCCAGCATTCTTAAATACAAGACGCTCTGTTCAAGTACCTTGAAACGACCCAATCCTTTTTTTCTAACCTATTGGACTAAGATGAACAAAACTGTGTTCTAGTATCAGTTCTGCTGGGGTCCAATCCCAGCGGGTCCAGGGATCCCCAAAGGTGTGGACGGAGTCGGCGAAGAATGAATGACATGGAAACTGGGTTCAGTTCATCAGCATAGCGAGGTTCTCCCTCCAGAATCTCCAGCGAAGTTCTGGTCAGGATCTCCAACCAAGTTCTGGTGCCATGTTCTCTTGCTAGGTTCTCCAGCCAGGTTCTCCATGTTCTCCAGCCAGGTTCAGTCACCAGGTTCTTTTGCCATGTTCTGTCTAGGTTCTCCAGTGAAGTTCTGTAGCCAGGTTCTGTCCAGGATCTTTTGCCATGTTCTCTGGCTAGGTTCTGGTTAGGAGCTGATGAGGATCTGATGTTTATTGTCTTGTTACATCCGTATTTATACCAGCCGATTTTAATCCTGTCAATTTCTATTACAAAGGTTAGGGCGTTTCTTATCTCCATTCCAGGGAGTAAAGATTATGTAGCTTAACTACCCGCCTGGCACTTAATTAAGGGGTTGTATCTCCCCCTAACCTCAGGGAAAAATCCCCACCTGGGGAAACAACCTTTCTCGGAGAGGTGACCTTGGTTAAAACACATGGCGCCAAGAAGGTGAGCAAACATATTAAGAACAGTATGCCATATATGCCAGGTCCCTTGAAACAGCAAGGATGGACCGGCTCCCGGCAAATTCCCCCTTTTTTATTTTTTAAATGATAGCGCATGCAAATCAGCGGCCACCTCTCAGATTGGGTTGTTTAAGACTCAGAAGAAGACTGACAAGCAATGATAGCGAGCATAGCTATAAACATAGTGGATGGAGTGCACAAGGAGCCTTGTTCTTGTAGAAGGTTGCTGGCCTCTTCAGTCAAGGGATTTCAGCTGTCCTCAAGTGGGGGGTTTGGTTGTCCTTGTTGATCTGGCTAGTGAGCAGTGTCATCATTGGTGATGGGCTTCCCGAAGCGTCAGCGAGTTGAAGGGCTGCATCAAAGGGTCCATCAGGGCCGTGCTTGATGGTGGTGTCGGTGTCCGGGGAGGAGTCAGCTGTGCCCTCTGGGTCGACCGATATGGATAATACTGGGGGGGAGGAGGATGAGGCGGAGACGGAGGGTGGTGTGACATAAGGTCGGATTAGACAGTCTGGAATCCACACAGGTGAGTCTGCATCCTGTGGAAATATACAAGCATCTCCTCTCCCCCAGGTTAAAAGTACATCAGGTCCCTTCCAGGCTCCTGTAAGTAAGTCTTTCCATTTGACGAAATAAGTGAGTTTCTGCTAAATTAAAGTTTCTTTTGCTGATTTACTCAGAGTCCTCGGACTTGGCTGAGAGAGTAGCTTCCACTTCTTGCTTTTCTACCATCTGTTGGGCCTCAGTTGTTAACTTCTTCAGCTGACCCCATGTTGGCATCTCAGTCCCTTGCATAGCCTTTCTTTTCTTCTTTTTTCCACTTTTCTGTCATCGGGGCAACTCTAAGTCTTTGGAACGATGGGACAAGGAGCTCCTCTGGGTCCACTGTGGTGATGCACGTAATGCATTTACTCAATCCAAGGCAGGCATTAAAAAGAAAAACCCTAAATGCTCTCTTGTATCCATTTTAAGAGTAGGATTGGCGCTTTCCGCTATTACCTGAGTCCTGATCTATCACCCCAGGGAGAGCTTTCCAATCCTGCACTTTCCCGGGGTGGAAAGGCTGCAGTGGGGTTAAGGATGAGGCTCCTTGGGCCTATCTTCTCCCATGCCTCTACATTTACCTTTCCGGCACCTTTCCTTCCTCAGAAAAGCATGGACATACTTCTTGTATAAAACATTCCGTCTGACTGGGAATAACCTTAACTCCTCTGCTAGCAAGCATATGTGTTAAAAGATCAATACAGAGTCTTTTTTTTCTTTAGACTATGTATGGCACATCTTCTTAATCTAAGATCAATACAGAGTTTTTCTTTCTTTGGACTCAGTATGGCAAATTTTTATCAAGCTTATTTTCCGAACGATTAACCTTTCTTTAACCAATTTCAACTTGTATAAGGGTATTTGAATATTCACAGGTGGATTAATTTTTTCTCTTCTTTATTTTTTTTATTTTTTTTTTATTTTGGGCCCCACACCCCCCCCTTTTTTGTTTTTTTTTTTTTTTTTTAAGATTTTTTTAATATTTCAATTAATATTTTATGATTATTTTATTTTTTTTTTTTT